ATTATTATTTGTACATTTTCCCAAAACCAGTCAAAATGACTTCTTTGGGCAATCTAGTGTTAATTAGGCAAGCTGCACGAGAAATGCAACGATTTGAGACCCAAATTTTTTCATATGAAGTTCCGATTGTTCGAAGATCGAACCAGAGGCGAATCGAATCGATTCTGGGATTACTTCGCCGCGTATGAAATCAATATTCGATTCTTAGAAGCAAAGAACTCGAGCGACCATTCTAAGGAATCCCCGGGTCTGACCGGAGGGCTTAGGTTCAGCAAACGAGATTCGATTCGAGACTCGTTTGAGTCTTCGCCTAACGGTGGATTAAATCTGACCCGTTCTATCGATTCCTACCCTCTAACGTCGGTTTTACTCCTCTGGATTCTATATTATATTGTAGGCACGTCGATCTTCCTGCCTGCTCGGCTTCGATTTTCCTCTCGAGTATAATCCGACTGCATCTCTGGTCATTAGGCGGTCCACTCGTTAGGCGCGATGCCAAAATTCGGACCGCTTTCAAAAATACATTGCCGTCCAAAAGTTTGCGATATGAAAATTGTTTTCACTAATAATTCTGGCTCGACTGTACGTCGAATAGAATAAAACAGTAATAAAAAAAATATCGAACTTAAGATTTACTTTAATAATAATGAATAATAAGTTTGACTCTTTTAATGTTATTTAAATTATGATTTTCGATTCGTAGAATGCATTTAGAGAAATGTCGAAACTCTTGAACGGCATTGTACTGCGCTGAGGTCAGCGGGTAAAACGCTGCTGAAAGAAGCCACGAATATTTCGTTTTTTCAAACCGTCAACCGGTCGCGGGTTGTATCTTAATGATCGTACAGAGAATATCGTGGAGAACACGGAAGCTATCAATTCGCCGGACGGGCAGACTCTTGGCACTGGTGAAAAATTAGATCGCGGCACGTCGTCGTGTCTCGTCGGGTAAAGACTCGTGTTCCTCCGGCGAGATTAAATTGTTCGTAATTTAGTGGAGTTCGGAAGAACTATGCCGGCTACGCGGGGGTGCGGGAAACCCGAAAACTTTTCAACCTACAAACGGCAGTCGGCCGACGGTGATTAGTTAATTCCTCGAAACACTTCAACCGTCCTCCTCAATTTTTTTTTTAATGTAAATTAATAAAATTTAGTATTCTTCGAAACACTT